ATTGTGGGATCTGCACTTCCTCATCTCCAACCTATATCCATAAGGAAGTCTTTAGGCTCCCTAGAAAGGCACCCCCGCCTTGAAACAATGACAGCGATTGGAAGAAAGGGCGCCGGGCAAGAGGGTCATGGACAGATGGCTTGTGCTCGTCACACAAAGTGGGGAGAAAGAGATCTATTCCTTCCAACCCGAAGCTGAGCCTCACCTGACTGTTTATATGGCGTTCCCTGCCAAGGAACAAGAACAGGAGTCTCCCAGGGTCTTGCATTTCTTGATGTTTGAGGCTATCAAATCAGTCCTACCATAAAAGGAAACTGTTCCAAGACATGGTCTGGAGGAGCAAACGTGTGTAGAAAGAAGACTCAGGCTGCTTTCCTCTGCCCAGGAGAAGCAGATCTAGAAGGAAAGATGCTCGGAAAAGTGGAAGACGGGAGGAAGCCAGAGGATGCAAGATCCCAGCAGAACTGCGGGTGACCAACGAAGACCTTTCAGTCAGAAGTTGAAGTTTTATGGGTGGCAAATAAAACGTCCTTTTGACTTCTATGGGAGTTTTTCTTAGTACATCTACTGGAAGAAGTGCGCTGAAAGAAATAAGAGAAATCAGACTGCACTGTGGAGCTAACACGAGAGCTGAATAGTTCAGGCTGCGCCTTGTATTTCCTAATCATGATGATGATGATGGTGGTGGTGCAATGGGCTAAACTCTTGCACTGGCAGGACCGCTCATCCAAAGGTTGGCGATTCAAATCGGGGAGCGGGGTGAGCTCCCTTCTGGCAGCTCCAGCTTCTCATGCGGGGACATGAGAGAAACATCTGGGCGTCCTCTCGTAAACGTCCTTGCAGACAGTCAATTCTCTCACAACAGATCGCTCCTGACACAAAAAAATGATCAAAGCGAGGTGTTATTATCATGATGATGATGATGATGATGATGATGATGATGATGATGATGATGATGATGATGATGATGATAATAATAATAATAATAAATAATACCACCAACAATAAGTAGCCTCCGATGGCGCAATGGGTTAAACCCTTCTGCTGACAGTACTTACTGATGGATAGGTCAGCTGTTCCAATCAGGGGAGGGCAGGTTGAGCTCCCTCTGTCAGCTCCAGCTCCCCATGCGGGGGGCAATGTCCTTGCAGGCGGCCAATTCTCTCACACCAGACCGCTCCTGACGGGAAGAGAAAAGCGAGATATTATTATTATTATTATTATTATTATTATTATCATCATGATAATAATAAATGATAATACCACCAATAATATGGAGCCCACGGTGGCGAAATGGGTTAAACCCTTGTGCCGGCAGGACTTCGAATCAAGGGAAAGCAGGATGAGCTCCCTCTGTCAGCTCCAGATTCCCCTGCGGGGACATGAGAGAATCCTCCCACAGGATGATAAAACATCAAAAATATCGGGGCGTCCCCTGGGCAACGTCCTTGCAGACAGCCAATTCTCTCACACCAGAAGCGACTTAGGTCGCTCCTGACACACACACACACACACACACACACACACAACCCAATAATACAATAATAATAATAATAATAATAATAATAATAATAATAATAATAATAATAATACCGCTCCGCTTTTATCTCTTGATTGAAGCCCAAAACGGCTCGCAACATTTGTTTTTAAAATGCCATTAAAAATCTACAACACATCTAACAATTCGGCTCCCTTCTCATGACCCTTTTAGGCATCCACACGACAGCTGTTTCTCCTGCGACTCTCAAGCGCATTCTTTCCCCTCCGGGAAGCAGAGCAAGGGGAGGATTCGCTCTCCCTCCCTCCCTCCCTCCTCTTTTGACCTACCGAGCCAACAACAACAGCAGTCAAAACGACCCTTAGGTTTGCCAGGAAGAGCCACACGGCCCTGGGCCCCTAAGACCCAGATTATGACCAACCGAGCCATCAACAACAGTCAAAACGACCCTAAGGTTTGCCAGGGAGAGAGAGCCACACGGCCTCAGGCCTCTAAAATACAGATGATCCGCTTTGAACGGGATTTGCATGGCAGTGTAGACAGGGCTTGAGTCTTCTCATGCGACCTCCCTGTTCCTGCACATTTCAAGCGAGGGAACAAGAGCGAACGAGATCACCTTGGGTGCGTCTACACTGCAGAGTGAAGGCAGTTTGGCCCCAATGCCATGACTCAAGGCTATGCAGATCTGGAAACTGTCATGTTATAAGGTCTTTAGCCGCCTTTGGGAAAGAGTGTCGGTGCCTCACTAAACGGCAGCTCCTATAATTCTGTAGCATTCAGTCAAAGTGGGGTCAAACTGCATTCATTCTACAGTGTAGACCATACATGGGCTAACTTTGTCCCTCCGTTCAGGTGCATTGGACTTCAACTCCCACTATTCTTAACCGCCTCAGGCCCTTTCCTTTCCCCCCTCAGCCTGTTAAGCTCATGTCCCCACAAGCGCATGCAGAGCTAGAGCGGACAGATGAAACTCAACCTGCTATCCCCTGATTGGAACAGCTGACCTGTCCGTCAGCAAGTCCTGCCCGCATAAGGGTTTAACCCATTGCGCCACTGGGGGCTCCTTATTATTGGTGGTATTATCATTTATTAGTATTACCATGATGATAATAATAATAATAATAATAATAATAATAATAATAATAATAATAATACTTCGCTATTCTCTTCCCGTTAGGAGTGATCTGGTGTGAGAGAATGGGCCGTCTGCAAGGACGCTCCCCAGGGGTTTTTCGGATTTTTTACTATCCTGTGGAAGGCTTCTCTCATGTCCCCGCATGGGAAGCTAGAGCTGACGGAGGGAGCTCAACATGCTCTCCCTTCATTGTAACAGCTGACCTGTCTGTCAGTAAGTGCTGCCAGCACAAGGGTTTACTCAATTGCGCCACTGGGGGCTCCTTATTATTGGTGATATTATCATTTATTAGTATAATAATAATAATAATAATAATAATAATAATAATAAAATAACACCTTGCTTTTCTCTTCCCGTCAGGAGAGATCTGGTATGGGAGAATTGGCCGTCTTCAAGGACGTTCCCAGGGGATTCCAGGATGTTTTGCCATCCTGTGGGAGGCTCCTCTCATGCCCCCACATGGGAAACTAGAGCTTAAGTGGCTGAGGGGGGAAAGGAAGGGGCTTAAGGCTGTTAGGAATGGTGGGAATTGAAATCCAAAAGCACCTGGAAGGAGGGCCAAAATTTGCCTGTGCCTGGTGTAGACGCATCCCTGGTAGTGTGCCTTCCTTCCCGACTTGTGACGATCCTAAAGCAGAGAATGGTCTTGGCCACCTTTGTCCAGAGAGGGTTTGCCTTGTCTTCCCTCTGAAGCTGAGATAATGTGACCTCCCCCGAGGTTTCCATGGTCACCAGAGTCGTAGCCCAGCATCCAAACCTCGCTGGCACTATTTCCACCTTTGCCCGGCTGCCTTGCTCTCTATCCCCTCTACGTGGGTTGTCAAGCTCTTCACAATTGATGTTTTCCAAGCGGCCAATTCCCTCCCCTCCTTCCTTGCTTGCTTTCGGCACATCTGCGCCTCGTTATTGACAAAGGAAAAGGTTCCGGATTCATGAAGGCTGGTCTCGAAGCGCCCGCGCGCCTCTTGCCTCTCCAAAGAACCCGGGAAACTCACAGGATTCCGGCCATGAAAACATCTTGTCTTTGTTGTTACCCTATTCTTGGAAGTCTCCTCCATAAATGAAAGGGGCTACTTGAGAGGTTCAGTCTGCGCTGAGCATTCCATCCAGTTTCAAACCGGTATTGAAGGAAGAGGTATGATTCCATAAGAAAATCTTGGATCCACCCAGAAGACCCGGATGGCGGTGACACAGGCGGTGACACAAACCACAGAGCAGTGAAGCGATGCATAGTGAAGATCTTCCTTTCCTGGGAGTTTCTGGTCTGGCCTTGAAGCTGGCTTTGAATTAAAGGGTTTGCATTAAATGGTTTGAACTGCATTAAATGGTCAGTGCGGATCCATCCAAACCAAAACAATCCCACCCTCTTGTGCCAATCCAATCGCACTTACCTTCCAAAGCCTTGAATAGGCTTCAGGCGCTTTCTGGAGTTGTCGAAGGCTTTCATGGCCGGAATCACTGGTTTGCTGTAAGTTTTCCGGGCTGTATAGCCATGTTCCCGAAGCATTCTCTCCTGACGTTTCGCCTGTATCTATGGCAGTTATCCTCAGAGGTTGTGAGGTTTTTCTGAAGTCCCTTTTCAGGATGCTTTTGTGGGAAAGGATTCAAAGTTTCGTCGAAGGCGTTCACAGCCGGAATCACTGAGTTGCTGTGAGTTTTCCGGGCTGTATAGCCATGTTCCCGAAGCATTCTCTCCTGACGTCTTGCCTGCCATAGATGTAGGAGAAACGTTAGGAGAACATGGGAACATGGCCATAAGCCTGGGAAAACTCACAACAACCCAGTTTTAAAGTTTCCTTCCTTCCAGTTGCTCTCTTTCTCTGAGTCTGTCAGAACCGAGTGGGACCGAGAAAAGGATCTACACTGACCTTTTAGCCAGATACAACATAACTCCCACGGAAGTCTTTAACGCGCATCGGCACTCCATGCTCATTCGCCACCATCGGAAATGGGTTTCGGATGGAATCATCTGTCCTTTGGAGGCTTTCTTCAATCCCGGTTCGAAACTGCATTAAATGGCCAGTGTAGGCGCAACTTTCATTGTAAAGGAGGAGAAGGCAAGGGGGGGAAAGAGAGGGAAGATGAGGAGGGGTGTTTTCTTCCTCTCTGCACCCCTCCTTCCCTTCCCAACACCCCCCTTTTGCCGCTTTGTCTATAAGGCAACCAAATCCCCCTTCCCGCCCCCTTGGCGTCGCCAGGCGAAGGGGAGGAGCAGGGAAAGGCAGGGAAGAAGGAGGGCAGCCTCCGGGTTGTTGGGATCCGAGGCCAAATGCGAGCGGGCTGCGGTTGTCGGGGGACTCCTCACTCCATCGGTCCTTTCCTCTGAGAGAGAGGGAGATTGGGGGGGGGGTTCTGGGTGGAGCCAAAGGGAGGCCTCCGCTTTCGGGGCGGTTGCGCAAGGAGCCCAAGATATAAAACGCGCCGTCGGGGCGCAGCGCGACAACAAGCGGCGTCCGTGGCCGGGAGCGGGCTCCGTCGGGGATTATGGAGTTCCTGGGCGACAAATTCTGCTTGAAGGGGCCCCCGGCGAGCAAAGGCGCCGAGTTCTACTTGCCGCCCGGAGCCCCCCTGGAGCACGTCATGGAGGGATTGGACGGGGGAGGAGGAGGAGGAGGAGGCGGCGGAGGAGGAGGAGGAGAGGCCTTCTACAGCAAAGGCGGCAAATGCGTGGCGCAGGCTGCTTACAACCCCCACGCGCGGATGGAGAGGGCCTCCCCGGCCAGGGAGGGCTCTGGTGAGTCGAGGCCAAGCTTGGGACTTGTGAGTGTGTGTGTGGGGGGGGGGGGGGGTTGCCAGGGGGCTTCAGCAGGACGTCCCTCACCCTCTTTTGAATGTCCCCCTCTGGCCCGTTAGGGAAAAATAGCCCCCCGAAAGTGAGAGTTTATATTTAAGTTGTAGAATATTATAGCTCCACTTTCGCTGCCGTGGCTCTATGGACTCTAATTAGAGTTGTAGTTGGATAGGGCACTAGCATTCTCCGGCAGAGAAGGCGAAAGAATGCGCAAAACTGTAGTTTCTATAAGGGATCCCACCTCGTACGCGTATCAGGGTGCACCTATTTTATAGAATTAATAATAATGATGATGATGCTGCTGACTGATGATGATAAGGAGAGGCGAGCAATAACTTCTCCTTTTCCTATTCCTCCTTTTCTTTTTTTCCTTCTCCTTCTCATCCTCCTTTTCCTCCTCCTCCTCCACCTCCTTTTCCTTCTTCTTATTCTCCTTCATGTCCTCCTCCTCCTTTTCCTTTTCCTTCTCTTTCCCTTCTCCTTCTCCTTCTCCTTCTCTTCCCCCATCTTCTCCTTATCCTTTTACTTCTCTTCCCTCTCCTCCTCCTCTTCCTCCTTTTCTTTTTCTTCCTCTCCTCCTTTTCCTCCTTCTCCTCTTTCCTCCTCCTTCATTCCTCCTCTTTCCTTCTCTTCCTCTTCCTCCTCCTCCTTCATCCCTTTCCTTCTCTCCTTCTCCTTCTCCTTCTTCCTCCTCCTTTCCTTTTCCTTCTCTCCTCTTCCTCTTTTTTTCCTTCCTCTTCCTCCTCCTCCTCCCCTCCTCCTCCTCCTCCTCCTCCTCCTCCTCCTCTCTCCTCCTCCTCCTCCTCTCCTCCTCTTCCTCCTTCCTCTATGTATCACGATTTTTGTTTCTGGGTTTAAAAAATTATTTCTTAATTGGATCTATCATAAAAACACGGGGGGGAAAGTTTAGTAGAAGGCATAAAACATTTCTTTTGCAGGACATCCGGCAGCACACTGGGCCATAGGTTTTCAGTGAAGATCTCCTCCAGTCCTACTCAATTCAGCATTGTTTGTGGCAGCCACAAAAATGACGTCGGTGGAGTAGAACTATTTTCAAAGCAAGAACTGCACACTTAAACAGGAAATCACACTTTCAAACCAGGAACACCCCCTCCCCAATTTTGTTACATAGCGAATTAATAATCCACCATGGAACAAACATTGGTGGGGGGGGGGGGTTCCTGGTTTGAAAGTGTTTAAAGGGATCCATACCTCGTGTGGGTCTCAGGGTGCATCTATTCTACGGAATTAATAATAAATAATTAATACTAATTAATACTAATTATTATTAATAATAATTAATACTACTAACAATTAATTAATTCATACTGATAATTCTGTAGAATAGATGCACCCTAAGACCAATTCCTTGCAAGTCTATAGGAAGAGCTTCCTTACCGAAGGGAGGGAGCGATGCAGTTGGGAAAGGAGAGGGGACCGACTTGACTCTGTGGGATGTATCTGGTCCTTCAAAGCTCGTGTCCATTTATGGCCACCCAAGGCATGAGTGTCATGGTGGGGCGAGGACTCAGAGGTGGTTTTGCTACTTCTTTCCCCGCTAAAGCATTGCCTAATGGTCTTCCAGGGCTCGCGCCCATCCAAAGGTCTTCTTGGAATGAAAGACATTTGGTTGCAGAAGGAACCTTTCTTTTGGGGAGGATTTTGAGGACTTCATCCGCTACTTGATTCTCCAAAAACCTTCCTTTCTGCTTTCTTTGAAAGCCTCCCCAATTGATTTGATCCTTCTTGCCGGCGGGGGACCTACTCAGGCCTTCCTCTCGCCTTCATTCCCTTCCATTGTAAAGAGAAAGAGGTTAGATATTACCACAAAAAGTTAGATCATTCCCCAAAAGTAGGTTCTCCAGTTGTCGGTCGTCCAAACTTGTCTCCATTTCTTAAGGAGAAGACTCTGATGTCTTCTCTGATGGAGAAAATATCTCCCTCGTGCAAGATATAGAAAGAAGAAAAAGAAGCGCATTATGTGTTGTTGTTGTTGTTGATGATGATGATGATGATGATGATGATGATGGTAATACTCTTTAAAGTAGTAAAAGAGACTCTCTGGAAGGACTTATAGTCACTGTCTATTAATTATTCTAGGAACATGGAGCCCCTTTTTCTTAAGGGAGGAGAGAAAATAGAACAGGAAGCAGAGCCCACGGTCCCGTTAATAGGTTCACGGACACGCGTGGGAGTGTTACACGTGTATGGAAGCCCGTGTTCCCATAGAAGCAGTATTATCTTCTCCAATCTGCGGTTGGACATCTATATCATCAACATGTCCAACAACACAGTCCAACAACAACACAAATCCCGTGGTGCATTGGTTTTTTAGGCCTATTCCATGGAATATTTAGGGCTGTGATTCAGAAAATTACCTAGGATAGATAGACCACATCTTAGATATGGTTCTTATGCTTTTCTATGGGCCAGCAGATGAGGACTAGTAGATAGCCTATGTTCTGTATCTCAAAAACTAGAGCTGATAGAAAATAGGTGTAATTTTTTTTGAATCAGCAGGTCAAATATATCTAGAAACAGGGATAACATTTGATGCACCAATATGTGTGTTGGCCAGTGTAATTGGAGTGTATAACATTAATTACAGGCAGTCTTCCGAGTTACAAATATCCGATTTACAAACAACCCAAACTTAAGAACAGGGGCGAGACAACAGGAAGAGAAATCTGCCCCTAGGAAGGGAAATTCTCCCCTGGAAGACTTATTCTCATGGGGAAAAGGAAGATTCACTGCAGCTTTCTCACCAATCCTTGCTTCCACGACGATAACATATAATCCAAACTTACAGGGGAAGAAAGTGAACCGAAATCTTCTGAACAGGGGCACAGACAGTAAAGGAAACATCACAGGGGTGTTCACTCTTCCCTATGTTACAGCCATATATACATATATGGCTGTAGTTACATTAAAAAAGTACCTGTTCCGACTTAAGTACAAATTCAATTTAAAAGCAAACCTACAGAACCTAGCTTTGTCGTAAGTTGGGGACTGCCTGTATATGTACATCCAATGGATCATATTAGTACCTTATATAATAGTATCTTAAATTATCCATATATTATTAAATGTATGTTAAATGATACACATATTAATATTTTAATACATAATATTTTGTTATGTATCTTAATTTAAAAAAATTAAATTCATTGAAAATTAATTTAGTTTTATACTAATTTATAGCAATGCTTTTGAGACGAAATGAAAAATAAATAAATATCTTTTAATAAGAATTAATATATATCACATGGATGAGATTAGGGGTCAATTGAATCCCGTTACTGCTTGAATCATGCCTGTCTCAGGGCCCTTCCGCACAGCCCTATATCCCAGAATATCAAGGCAGAAAATCCCGCAATATGTGCTTTGAACTGGGTTATCTGAGTCCACACTGCCATATATTCCAGTTCAAAGCAGATACTGCTTTGAACAGATACTGCAGATACTGCCTCTATATTATGGGATATAGGGCTGGGTGGAAGGGCCTTGTCTCATTGCTGTCAATGGGATGCGAATTCAATTGAATCTGGATCCAAACAAGGCTCATAAAAATGGCTGAGGACTATCAGTTATTTCCTGAACTGGAGCAAATAAAGAATAGGAAAGAATATTGAATGAGTAGCAATTTCAAGGGGCCCTTCCACAAAGCCCTATATCCCAGAATATCAAGGCAGGAAATTCCACAATATCGGCTTTTACCTTATCTGAGTCCACACTGCCATATATTCCAGTTCAAAGCAGATACTGCTTTGAACAGATACTGCAGATACTGCCTCTATATTATGGGATATAGGGCTGGGTGGAAGGGCCTTGTCTCATTGCTGTCAATGGGATGCGAATTCAATTGAATCTGGATCTAATCAAGGCTCATAAAAATGGCTGAGGACTATCAGTTATTTCCTGAACTGAAACAAATGAAAAATAGGAAAGAATATTGAATTAGTAGCAATTTCAAAGTCACGCCAAAAGTTAAGTAAGGGCCCTTCCACATAACCCAGAATATCAAGACAGAAAATGCCACAATATCTGCTTTGAACTGGGTTATCTGGATCCACACTGACATATATTCCAGTTCAAAGCGGAAAATGTGGAATTTTACTGTGTGGAAGGTGTCTAAATATTATTTCAAAAACAAGAGGTAATCTATTCGGTTGAGATTCACTAATCTATTGTAAAGGAGAGAGCAAATGTCCCAGTGTATTATATAAGGGAGCATGTCTAATATATAGATTTTACTATTCCATGCAGTGACATTATATGCTTTCATATTTCTTCTTTGAAAAAAATCGAAAACCGAACAAGGCGATTATTTTCCCTGATCGACTTATTCTATCAATATCTCCTTTGGGAAGATAAAGCGGGTTATAAATAAAGTTTATTATAATCCAAGATCCCGGCGCATTCAAACGCCTTCGGTTGAATTGTTTTTCCCCAGCCTTGGTTTTCCTTTAACACACTCCAAGAGGTGAAACAAAGCCTTACACAGAAAGCTGGAGAACTACAACTCCCATGATACCATAACATTGAGCCATGGCAGTCCATCACACCAGAGAATGAATCCACTTTCAATCCGGTTTCTGCCTCCCGCAGAATTCTGGGGTTTGTAGTTTAGGGAGGAGCCCTAGGATCCAGTGTGATGAAGTAGTGGTGTCAAACTGCACATGTATATTACATGTCAATGGGCGCAATTTATATTTCCTGTCCTTGACTCATTTCTCTTTGCCTCCCTACACTTCCCCGACCTTCAAGATAGTCCTGACCTCCAAATAAATCTATCCACTCTCAGTCCAATTTACCTCCAATTAAGTACAGATTGAAATCATGTTAATCCTTCTACAGGAGAGAGGGACTCAAAGGTCTGTATTTCATGTACTAAATTGGGAAATCTTTGACAAGCACAACCGGCATAAAATGTGTAAAAGTCC